AGGGCCCTGGGGGACCACGGCAAGGGGAAGTGGCCAGAGAAAGAAAGAGTCAAAGCAACTCAAGTGATGTGTAAGAACAGAGAGGCTGCTCACAGCACACCCCACAGAGAAATCCTACAAATCCAGCCAAGCAGCAGCAAYCCCAACACTGCTCCACCACCAACAGAACAGCTCCTTCTCTTACCAACCAACCCCAGCTCACCCAAACTGTGCACATTCAGCCCGGGGAAGACACAAGACTCAAAAACCAAATGCTTGGGTTTAGAAGCAAGTCTGCTTTTTCTTTTCTTTTTTTTTTTTAGACTAGAAAATGTACAATTCCATTTCATATGCAGGTGTGCACAGAGCTCGTTGCTTGTAGATACTGTCAGAGAAACTGAGAGTCTTTGCATTAAATTGTTAATTGTTCAAACATTGATACATTTTGCAATACACCAGTTAAATACCAAGATCTATGTGCATGCACTAGAGATATATGCATGTACACCTTAATGTTTAACAAAGACAGCAGATCCCCCAGCCAGGGAGCATTGGAGATACCAAAAATAGATTAAAAAGTTAAATTCTTTACCTGCCTTTGTTAAATACAGACTTTTGAGATTGCCTCCCCTCCTTTCCCCAGGATTCTCGTGCTCCCAGGGAGGCAGGTGAGCAGGAAGGCAGGAGCTGACCAGATTATCCCARAACCAAAGAGAAGCACCTTAAAAAAATTCAAACTAAGCCTTAAAAATGTCTTTTCCATCCTTACCAGACACAGGGGCTAAGAAAGGGAAGAACATTTTAAACTGTTTTGTTTCATTTTGCTGTACTCCCAACACATCTCCCACAGAGTCTGACATTTCCAAYCATCCCTCTGCCATCCCAACTGCTTGGATCCCCTAAAGTGGGAATTCTGCCTGGGACAGCCATCCCAGCAGGTGCTAGAGCAGGGAAAGGTAATCCTAGTGTTCTCCCACTGCTTTGGGGACCATGCAGGGAGTTCTGGTTTCAACAGGTTCTGTCCTGGACCTCGTGGGGGTCACCTGGAGTTTTTCAAGTAGTGTCATCTGCTTTGTCCCCACCACTGCACATTTYAATATCTGCACATTTTGTGTAGTAAAAAGAGCTTTTCCTGTGAAAAACACCTCATTAAAGTCTGACTTGTCCGGTTTCAGTGTGACTTTCAAACACAACTTTGTGCCTCTTCTTTGGTTAAGAAAAAAAAGATACTTTTCCCTTTTTGACAGCTCAAGATACTTCTGCTAGACCTGAATCAACCAGCACAGCAGAGAAGGAGAGCAGTGGGCAGGACCTGCAGCATCACCCAGTCCAATGATGACCACCATAAATCAGGAAAACTCCTTTCATTTGGAACTCCTTGCCAGCACTGGAATTTGAAGCTCAATCCGTGTGCCCCARTCCATTCCAGCCTCCTCCCTTAATCAAAAAAACACATGGAAAAACAAGCAATGGGCTGAAGAGAGAGTTTGTTTGTCAGGTTGTGGAGAGGCAATGTCTGATTGACGTTACAGCTGTAGGGACACGGAGGGGAAGGACTCGTGCCACGGGGACATGGCCATGTCACAGATTAGTACTGCTGCCAACATACTGATTCAGCTTTACACACTGCTCTGAGCAGATTGCAATTAACCTAGGATTGAGGTATAAATATACACAAATATGTACAGTACACATACAGGAAGAGAGTTTTGCATTTGTAACATCRGCAACCTTGGAAATACTGGAGAGTCAATACCGAGGCCAGTGATTCGCTCGCTGATTTACTGGAATAATGAAGCCAAAACTTCCACTAGAGAGGGCTACAGTGGGATAATAAAACTCTAAATTAAAAGCTCCTTCCTCTTGCTTCATCCTCCCCACGGCCAAGGCCGGACTGTTCCGAGGGGCAGCTTGAAAAGAAGGCTGGTCACAGCTTTGAATGATCCTCCAGGAACCCGAACCAAACCGGAGCCCAAAGTGCACCTTGGCTCTTGTGCCTGCTCCCAATTCCTGTCCCCATCTGTGTGTGTGTGTGTGTAGCTATGTAGAAAATACAGTTGCAATCAGTTCTGTATAAATACATCTACCCCTCCACTCTGCCACCGGTACAGCTCTGCTGGAGCAATGTCTGTGCAAAGAGCTCATTAAAAATCATCTGATCTTCAGCCGGGACATCATCCACTCCAGTCCTTGGCACAGTCTGGAAACACAAGAGACAATGTTTAGGGAATTCTCAGGATAACTCCAAAGGAAATTCCATCACATCCATTTAAATTCTTCCCAAGAACTCTAAATCATTGTTGGAAACYCTTCACTCCCTGCACAGCACTTCCTGTGTTTTGTTATATAATCTATGGTGAGAGAATTCAGATCCCAGCTCATCAAGCCATTAATTCCTCTCTAATTAGGAAAACTCTTTATAAGCCAGACCAGATTTCAGTTTGCCCCCAGCCCACCCTCATTTAGCCCAAAAGTTGTGTCTCTATGAGGTGACACTGTGAATTTGATGGAGGAAGTTGGGTTTCGGACAATACCTTGTTCTGAGCCCAAAAACCTTTTAAGTATTGAGATTATGAAGTGCTGAAGCCCAGAGCAGCTGTGGATGCCCCTGGATCCCTGGCAGTGCCCAAGGCCAGAGTGGACATTGGGGCTGGGAGCAGCCTGGAACAATGGGATGTGTCCCTGCCCATGGCACAGGGTGTGATGGGATGATTTTAATGTCCTTTTCAAACCATTCTGAGATTCTGTCACATTATGGACAGAGGAGGAATGTGTGTCAAATCCAGAAATCACAATAAAATCCCCAGAGTAATTGCAGATTCCCCTCCTAGGGACACGAATCCCTCTTACCCCTCTCCAGTGAGAGCACAGCAGGCCTGAATGTGCCACTGGTGATCCTTAATTGAAGTCAGCTTCAGGAACTGGGAGATTTCAGCTACTGTCATGCACTCCTTCACATCCTGCTTGTTAGCAAAGATCAGCAGTCCTGCTTTTTTCAAGTCCTAGGGAGAAAGGAGAGGAGATCATGACAAARCAGCCCTTGGAGGCAAACGATGGGATAGCCAAGTAGAGAAGCCAGAGCCCAGCCAAAAATCCTCCAGAAAAAAAATGCTACAGGCTKTGACAGGAGCTGCAGGAAACCCTTTGATCCAGCACACCAAACAGCCAATTTTTGCCATGGATGAGGTGTAAAAATCTCAGGACAATGTTTTGCTGTGCTCCAGGAGGATCAGAGCATTCCTGCACCTGTGCAGCACTGACAATTTGGGAACAGTGACTCCAGGGATAAGCTTATTTTACCTCCAATTGCTTGGAATTACACCAGGGCAGGGGTGTATTATTGAAAATCTTTCCCTTGGAAAGCAAAATGGTGTTCCCAGGAAGCCCAGCCAGCCCAGGCACTGAACTGCCTATCACGCACACTCCTGTTCATACACAGCAAAATTAATTCCCAAATAATCAACCSCTCCACAAACTCGCTGCAACTGAGCTGGACAACTCAATTTCACCTGAACAGAAACTCCATGGAACCGGTTAGGAGAAAGAAAAGATTTTCAAGGAGCAAAGAAAAGCTATTTTAAATCAATATTTGACTTTCATTGCTGTTCTCTCCCAACGTCACAGCCACGTCTGGAGAGGGAGCCTGGGAACATCCTGCTGGCCAACAATGGGCACATTCACGGGGAGGTGGCTCCCAAATCAGCTCCCATTCTGCCTGGAATTCCACACTTACCCTGGGGCAAAATCACCTCCTTGACAACTTCATCTTCCTCTAGAGATTAGGAAACAGAAGATGCAGAATTTTGCAACAGCCTGAGAAGTCCAGCTCTGAAATCTTAATCCTCCCAGCAGCATCACATTTAACACTTCACAGCCTGACCCGCTCTATTATAATTTACTTTAATTAAAACAAAACTTCAACACAAAAAAAATTAAAAAAAAAAACACAGAGAAAAATTAGAAATTGAAGACCCTGTGCAAAGGCCTTGTTTTTCCTCAAAGGAAATCCATAGGCAGGTTTTGTCCTTCCTGCAGTCTCCTAAACKGTGGCTATATGTTAAATATAGCTGCAATATTTTGGGTTGTAATGCCATCATTTTTATGCACATCTTTTTAATCTGACACTTAAATTTGGAAGCTCGGCGTCAGCTCACACACCCTGATCCAGTTTGCATTCAGGTCACACCTCAGGTGCTGCCTGGCTTTCACAGMAGCCCAGCTTAGGCTCAGACCTCACACAAGGCTCAGCTTTAAAGGGGAACTTTACAATTCAGCAATTTACACCATCACTCTGGAATTCCAAATCATCAAAGAGCAGTGGCTGCTCCAGCCACGGGATTAAGTTCCATCATTTTTAGGGCTGGGTGCTTTAACACATTATTAAGGCTGTAAAACACAAAACCTCAGGCAACCACGAAGGTATCAAAAATAATTATTAAGTTATTGCAGGAAACCATGGGGTTTCAAAGGCTCTAATTCAGGTATCACCGTGGATTGAAGTGTAAAAACCACACATGTCCCTGACAGGTCCCAACTGCTGTTTCACTTGGAGCACTCTGACTTCTGYAATTTAGTGTTAATTAACAGCTTTACTGGAAGTTTCACAGAGGACAGTGCAGCAGGGACAAGGCAGCTCAGGGCCTAAATCTGCTTCCCTTAACGTGATCAACCARGTAATTAAAATAAATATTAAAGGAATATTTCAATAAAGACACGGGATGCACTCACCTCGTGTGCTAACATTTTATACAGCTCTTCTTTAGTCACAGAAATCCTCTCTCTGTCGGTGCTGTCCACCACAACGATCACAAACTGCAAAAGAGAGGGCTGTCAGGCAGAGAAATTCCTGCTGTGTGGGCACAGGATCCCAATCCCACCCCATTACCCAGATGGATTATCAGACATCAATCCTATTCCCACACCCTCCCCTGAATCCCAATGAAACCTCCCACAGCCTGGGGGGCTCACACCTTGTGCTGTGCTTTGGGTATAAAGGCAGCTCTGACACAACTTTTGACTTTCTGTTCTTACTTTTTCASTGAAAAATTGATACTGAAAGCAAGAAAGTTGTCACTAAGCCCAGATCTGGTTCTGTTGTCTGCTTGGTGTAACTGAGGCACCACACAGATCCCTCAAATAATTTGCTGCAGCCTTAAAAACAAGCATCATTTTTCTTTGTCCAGGTCAAAAACTAACATGTAAATGTGTTTGCAATGAATTAAAAAAGCCCTGAAGCTCCAAATTCCAAAAACACACTCCCAGCTCCATTTAGGCCGGAAAAGACCTTTAAGGGATCACAGYATCTCATAGGGATGAACTGGAGAACAAAGATAATTACTGGTCAAATTGTATTTAACCATAGAGAACATAAATATAATTTATGTAATATAAATAATTGTATTTAAATTGTATTTGATAACACATAGGAAACCTCGACTTAAAGCATTATTTTTATCATATTATATGTTTGATAAAGTTTATATGTGTTGGAGCAGAAACTCTAAAGAGTTCTGAAATGAACAGGAGAAAAAAGGTAATCATTGTACAAATTGTATTCAATATAGACCACAATTTATATATTAATAAATAACTATATTGAGACTGTATTTGATAAAATAAGGAAACCTTGATTTAAAGCATTACAACCCAAAATATTGCAGCTATATTTAACATATAGCCACAATTTATATATTAATAAATAACTGTATTAAGACTGTATTTGATAAAATAAGGAAATTTAAAGCATTATTTTTATCAAGTTATGCACTCAATACATGTATATATATATACAAATATAGATAAAAATATATATAGTATAAATATATGTATTTAATAGAGATGTTAAGATATATATTTAATATAGACTTTAATATAGATATTTAATATAGACGGTAATATAGATATTTAATATAGATGTTAATATAGATATTTAATATAGATGTTAATGATGTATGTACTGCAACTTCACCTCTAAAGAGTTCTGAAAACTCTTGGGGGTGTTTACATTGATGATGACAGGAGCTGCCAAAGTTTTGGAGGAAAACTTTCGGGCTGTCCTTGCTCYTGAAGAGTCCGATTTTGAAGGAGCCACGGCAGAGAGAGCGACCACAGAGCCACCAAGGGGGGATGTGCACTCCCAGAAGAACAGAATCACAAAAGCCATTCCCAAATGCCCACCCAAGCCTGGTTTCCATGGCTCCTCACCTCGGTGTTGGTGTAGTAGGTGTTCCAGGAGGAGCGCAGGGACTCCTGGCCGCCGATGTCCCACATCAGGAAGCGCGTGTTGTTCACCACGATCTCCTCCACGTTGCTGCCGATGGTGGGAGAGGTGTGAACCACCTCGTTCATGGAGCTGTACAGGGAACAGGGACAGGGAATCACCCAACACCCAAACTGACACATCAAACCTACACCCGGTGGGTGCTCCCAGCAGAACACCCTCAGCAACCGCTCATTGTGCAGCAGAGACAAGGTTTGATGAGGGAAGGCGCAGAAATGTAAATAAAAACAGCAATAAAAAGGACTCAGTGAGCTATATCATAATCAAATTATAGAGCTGACAGAGCACTTATGAACAAACTCCGTTATAATTAATTAAATCATGAAGCTGAGAGAATTTTGCTTCAGAAGCTGCTGGGARCACTCAGCTCTTCTTTCTGCAGGCCCATTCTGGCTCACATGGGACAGAGAAGTTGTTTTGCTTCAAGAATGTGGTTAAGCCACRAGATTTCCAAGGTTTCAGGAAAACAACAGCTCATCCTCCAGTTCCGCCAGAAACACTTCATCCACTCCATCCTGCTCTCCTTCCAGAGCAGCCCACTAAAACCAGTTTTTCTTCACCRTTCAGTTGCTTTATGTCCTAACTTCCTACTTTTTTGGCCTCAGCACAGTCCAATATACAACTTGGAGAGAAATGCAGCCATTAAATATTTCAGATATACTGTTTAGTGATACTGAGTGTGACTTTGACCACCAGTTTCACATCAAAAAACCAAATGTGTGCTCTAGATACTCCTAAAATTCAGATTATTTAAACTCTACTGTAACATGCAAAAAAAAGAACACAGCTCCAAGGCAAACCATRTTCAAAAGGACTTAATTATTTTTTTCTTCTGATCATCTTGATATATAGTTTTTCATTTTGTATTAACTTTTTTGAAGTTCCAGCAGAGCTTTTAGTTACAGTGACAGCAATTTGAGACTTGTAATGGTGCTGGAATATTTCCTGAAGAGGGGAACCAAGGAGATAAAGGGATGTTGCAGTGCTCTGAAAAGCAATCCCAGGGCCAGGGCAGGGAAAGCTGAGTGTGAGAATGGGAAAAAAAAGGAAGTGTCTGGAAGAGGAAAAATGGGATATGCAAAGATGAGATAGGGTCAAGGAGGAACCAGGCAGGAAAGGGGGAAAGAGAGAAGAGAGCTGGGAAAGTCCTGTAGAGTTAAACCGAGTACAAAGAAAAAGGAGACATACAGAGATTCACTGTATGAGAGGGAGAAGAAAACACTGAAACTGCAGAAATAAGGGGAAGGACTGCATGACATTTGTAGAGGAAGTGGATTAAAAAGCACCAAGGATGGCCCTCGGCTGAGCAGTTCCCAGTTTTAAGAAATACCCTCCATTCTGTTCAGGCTTTTCAAATTCTCTCACCCCCTCTATAAATCACCATCACCTTTACACTTTCACTCTCCCTGCAGCAGGGCAGGGCACAAGCAGCTGGAAGTGTTTTGGAAAGGCAAAGCAGGTCAGACTGTGACAAACCCCAACCACTTCCAGAAAGCCTATTTTAACTGTAGCATTGGAGCAGCACAGCCAYAGCATTCAGCAGGAATTATTTCTGACTCAGGAACACTTCCCAGTGCCACAGCACGTGGGAAAGGGCCAATCTGTCCCCARCACAAACAGACCTTGAGCTGCCTGTGCCACCCAGCAGCTCCTGAGCCTGAGGACACATTGGTACCCTCTTATCAAACTGCAGTTCRAGAACTGAGATACAAAGCTCATTGGAGTTCCATGTAAACCAGGAGCAAGGTAAGTGCAAGGCAAACACAAATCAATGCTGCTGTTGAAGGCAGAAGTKCAGGACAGCACAGAGATGTCGTCCTGGGTTCCTGCTGGGATCAGCCTTCCTCCTTCATCCCATCCCACAAATGACACCAAAYTGATCTCAGCTCTGGGGACACAGGGCACGGCAGGCAGAGGTGCTTTGCCACTCACACAATGATGATGTGTCTGGTGTTTAAATCTGCGGTGTGAATCAGTTTTACAACAGTGTCCCGTGGCCAACACTCACCACAATCATATTTTATGGGGCTGGCAAAAAGCCAATGCCGTGACACCAAGGGCGGCCGGGAGCGCGTGGGTAACAGCAGGTGATGTGATCCAAAACTCTCTGAACAAAACCTCATTCATCCACCAGGCACAGCAGAGCCCTTTCCAAACTCCAGCCAGCCGCTGCCACCTGGAAAGCTCTGAGTGAAACCACCYAGGGCAGCCTAACACACCTGGAAAAGCCCCGAACGTGCCCGCAGGTCCTACTTACAATTGGTACAGAATGGTCGTTTTCCCTGCATTGTCCAGGCCCACAATGATCACTTTGTGCTCTGCAAGGAAAACAGCACTGGTAAGTCACAGCTCACTCWCTCTGCTGTGGTGACAGCAGCTGGGTCTGGATCAAGGGCAGTGCCACGTTTGCCACTGGTTCCTGAGCCAACACTGCTCAGCTGCAGGTGCTGCTCTGAGCAAAGAAGGGACTGGCAATTTATCCCCCATCCACAGGAACCACTCCTGAGAGATTTCAGGGGGATGTTTTCCATCTCTGGCTGCCAATGTCAYGCTGGAATGCTGTCCCAAGCTCCTGCAGGGTTTTGCAGCCTGTATCAAACTCCAGCCCTCCAAACACAACAGCTGTCAGCTCCACTGTCCCTCCATCCAGGCAGTACCTTGATGTCCTGGCAAAGAGCAGCTCAAACCCCAACCAGGCTGATTTACAGTTTGATCCCTGTGCCCCCAATGCCCTCCTTCCCTCCTGGCATGTTTGGAGAACAGATGTGCCCATAAACACTGTACAGGACACATTCACCCAGATCAGTCTTGGACAACTCACAGAGTGCTCCACAACTTTCCTCTAAGATTGTGCAGCTCCATGCCCCAATCAAGTCTTGTTTCCCTTCAAACCCTCCTCTCCTGTGCATCACAAAAGTGACAGGGAACTCCACAGCTGGTGGTGTCAAGCACATCCAAATTTATGATTTCCAGTTTGGGTGAGCACAGCCAGCTCACAGCTGTTACACAACTTTCATTTGCACAACCCCAAGCAGGGCAAGTCAAGTAAAAGCCTGGTGAGAAGGGGTTTTCTCCCCTCCTTCCCCTTTTCCTCGAGGGCAACAAAAAGCCATTACAAACATACCCAAATTTCAGATACTGAGCTCAATTCCTGCCAGAAAARTACACCCACACTGACTTATCCCAGAAGAGAAGGAAGGGGCAGGGGTCAGGTAAGTGAAGGTTTCTTGGGTTTGATTTTACCAATATTGTGTGGTTTTGCAGAGTTGTCTTTTATGCCATCCAATAYAAATTTCAGTTTTAATAACTTTGCATAACTGCACAATATTGTAAAAGTGGCTGCTTACCTGACCCCACATAACTAGGAACTTTTGTTTCAGGTGGGATGCTGCCAGCATAGTGGATGTTAGGAAATCAAGTTGAAACAGGTCTGAGGTGGGGCTGGATGCTACAAGACAAAAATATTTTGTTGTATTTGCACTAAACTTTAACAGGGACATAACTGGGACATTCAGCGAGCAGGTGTGAGAATAGCGAGGTTCACTCCAAATCAAATTCCAAGGACTTTAGAAACATGGAAAGAGCAACAGCAGGTGTTTTGGAGTTAAAGTTACAACTCTCATGAACACCTTGCTGTTAAAGACTGATGTTAAAAAGTCCCAGGATGGTTTGGGGTGGAAGGGGAATTAAGGATTATCCAGTCCACGGGCAGGGACACCTTCCACTATCCCAGGCTGCTCCAAGCCYCATCCAACCTGGCCTGGGACACTTCCAGGCATCCAGGGGCAGCCACAACTGAAGCTATAAATAACATTTACTCCACGAACGAGCCAGATATCGAGGTTTGCCACTTAAACCCGCTCTGCCGACAGCAAGACGAACCCACCCGCCACGCCGCGCCACGGCCGTGTTCTTGTGGCACACGTTAATAATTKAACAGGCGGCTGTCAGGAAATGAGCATTCCAGTAATTGAGAGAAGGGGGAAAAAAGGTTAAAGCCCCGATTTCCAAGAACACGGCGGTCGYCCCGAAGCGGGTGTGGGTCCCTCCCGGATCGCCCCCGGGCCTCACCCTGATGGTTGAAGAGCCTCCATATCCTGGTGAAGAGGATCCCCATCCTCGGCCGGGCGCTCCGGGCCTCGCCGGCCGCGGCTCTGCGGGGCCGCGGGAGCTCAGGGCCCGGCGCAGCGCCCCGAGTGCCGGCTGGGGCCGCGCCGGGGCCGCTGCCGCTCGGACATCGCCGCGGGGTCGGG